ACTCCAGAGAGGATTGCTTTTAATACAGGTAGGCAGATTAAATTTTTATTTACCTTTGTGCTCAGCCGCTGCAGTTGCTTCAGATCTCATAGCTGCTCCTATAAATACTCCATGCTGCCAGTTAAAGGCCTCATATACAAGAGGCACACCTGTAAAGAACAAAACCACTTCACTAATTAAAGGTCCAGAAACATTTTTATAGCAGATAAAAGATACTGCCGAGTGCATGTTACTGTATTCTAATTTTTCCTGTTTTTTTAATAAGTTCATTTCCTGCCCTCTTACAGCAAAGAAGTTTATATGAAAGTTTTCAAAACCGGTTACTGATTACTGAACACATCCATGTTTAGTTGCTCAGCAGGAGATATCTGGGACCTCAGAATGCCCAGCAGATTTTACTGGAAATAGAATCTGGTCCTATGGTCATGATATTAAACTCAGACCTAGCATTACTTCTATTTTGTTCCCAACTTTAGGTGACCTTTAACAGATCAATTTATTTCACTTCCTTTTCTGTAAACTGTCTACAACTGATTCATTTCTCTAACCATTTCCTGTCTGAACTAGTTAAACTGCAAGCAAATTGAGACAAGTATAGCAATTTGCTATGTGTCTAGGTATTACCCAGGTTAGTCGGTCCTGGTCTCTCTCCAGCCCTTTATTACCTGGTGTGTGTTAACACATAACAATTCAGACATTGAAATATCAGTGGCTGTAAATGTGTGTGTCAAAGGCTAACACGGAGAAGTTAGGCCAACATGGTTATTTCCTTGGTTTTGCAGCTGTGAAAGCAAAACCTATGTCTATGCCCAGTTGTGTTTCAACCCTTCTGTGGACAGCCCTTCAGCCTTGATATGTGGCTGCTGCATCTCTTACCAGCAGGTCTGCGGCCTCCAAATATTATCCCTTCAATGGGCACACCTTCGGGTGATTCCCATGCCGGGTCCATGATGGGGCACTGGCTGGCTGGAGTGCAGAATCGTGAGTTGGGATGAGCAGAAGGTTCTCCTGTACAGAATACAATAAAAAGGTCATAATGGCAGAATTAACTTGAATTCAGCAGAGAAGACCAAGAGAGACTGTGCAGTGGGCCAGGTTACCGTTATCTGCGGTCCAATCCTTTTTCTTCCACGAAGTAAGTGTTATTCCTGGTGGTAATGGCTCATCAATGCCTTCCCAATAGACACCTCCATCACTGGTTTCTGCTACATTGGTAAAGATGGTGTTCTTGAATATGGTTTTAATAGCGTTGGGGTTTGTTTTGACTGAGGTTCCGGGGGCAACACCAAAAAAGCCATTTTCTGGATTGATTGCCCTTAAGTTGCCTGGAAGTTAAATGGCAAGATTTAAGTAAATCCAACTGGTTTAATTCTATCCAGAATTTTGTAGCATGTCTTGCTGCACCTAAAAGCCACCCATACTGGACTGTAAAACAATGCGATTTCATTTTCATACCTTGTTCATCAAATTTCATCCAGGCAATATCGTCACCCACACACTCAATTTTCCATCCTGGCAGGCTTGGGTTCATCATGGCCAAGTTAGTTTTTCCACATGCACTAGGGAATGCTGCAGCAAAATACTTCTTTTCACCTTCTGGATTGGTAATGCCCAGGATCTATTGAAAAATTAATGCAACTGTTAAACATGGGCTTTTTTCTTGCACTTTTTATTTTGAAGATTGTCTCCCAGCATGTGGTAATGATAAAATATTTAATTATGCAAATTTGTTCCTACAGAAGAAGCACCACATATTATAGTTCACAAATAACTCAAACTGTACTTTATTAATAAAAATTTCTACTCTTCTTGCCCTTAGAATATCTGTAAGGGGTTCTTACATTTTTTTAAATGTCAGGTATGTATATAGTTCAAACATTTATTTTTATTTTGCTGATTAAAGATACACAGACTGTATAGAGCTGTGTTTCTCAGCTGAGACAATAGAAAACCAGGCAATATTTTGGATGCATAATTAGAGTGAAGTGAAAGCACTTCATGTATGGATACTTCTGCACTTTTCAGAGTCCATAGATTGTGGTTTTTTTCTGAGACTGTTCTCTTAGGCACTTTAAAATTCTTTTTTTGAATGATATTTTATGGTGGTAGAATGTTTAAATGATGGCAGGAAGGGTACAAAGCAGAACTAATTTAGAAAATCTTCTCTTTGCAGATTTTTGAGTGCATAGATCTCTTCATAATATGAAAGGCAATTTTCAAAACTTGCATTAATCTTTTGCTATTAGACTTGTAGGGGCAACGTGGATGCCTAGTGATGATGTTTAGGCTCTGCTCAAGTACGTGAGTTTGCCTACAAGTAGCCACTGTCAGAAGTTCCAAATCTCTCTTAGTTTCTGATTTTACAGGTACTATTTTGAAATGTTTGGTACTTAACCTTGCAAGCAATTTCCTATTTCTCATAAGCCTGTCATGTGATAAATTCGTATTTAATGTTGCAGGACTATCCATATGAGACTAATTTCATTGATAGCAAGATGTGATATATTTATGTTGAGCTAATTTAGGGTTTAATGGCTGTTCAAACACACGTGATTTAATAGCTCTTACCAGCATGTGCTCAGCTAGCCAGCCCTCCTCTTTGGCGATTCTGCTGGCAATTCTGAGAGCAAAGCATTTTTTCCCCAGTAAGGAGTTTCCTCCGTAACCACTGCCAAATGAAATGATCTCTCTGCGATCCGGGAGATGAGCAATCAGTGTTAACTCTGGGTTGCATGGCCAGTTGTTGATTAATGGTTCTGCAGAACAGAATGTTGTACTCATGAATGCAGCAATTTCCATGCTGGATCACATTGTTGTTTCATCAGCATTGAGCCTCTGACAGCAACCCATACCAGATGCTTCAAAGGAAATCCCCTGGTAAGTACTAGGGATAATAATCTCCTTTCCATGAAACTCTCATTGAGCTTTGATTCCTTTAATTGAGTTCTGAACCTAGTGCTGTTACACAAATTACCCTGGTCCTCTATAGTGAGTGTCTCCCATGTGCTGAGAACGCACAGTCAGCTCTAAAACATGCCCCTGGGAATTTCCAGGGGCGATAGTTTTTAATGTCTCTTACCTTTCAGCGGTAGAGGACATCCAACAGAGTGAAGGCATTTTACAAACTCCCCGTTGCTCAGGGCTTTCAAAGCAGCTGTTCCCATCCGTGTCATGATCCTCATGCTGGCCACTACATATGGTGAATCTGTCAGCTCGATCCCAATCTTGGACAAAGGAGACCCAATAGGCCCCATGCTGAAGGGGATGGCGTACATTGTACGTCCTGGAAAACAGGGAGTGGCAAGATGTGTCAAAGAGCAAAACAAGGAATTTTGAAATAATCTTAACATGGAGGTTGTTTCTCACTCTGTTAAAAGCTGTTTGTCTTGTGGGTGTTTCTGATGATGTTTAAAGAGCTGTAGTTTTCTGTTTGTCTAATTGTGTAGCAAGAAGTTTTATCTTAAATGCTGAAAGCAGCTGTTCAGACAAATTGCCTAGCCAGTAGTACAGGTGGGTGGAGACCAAGTTCTCTGTTGGTGTAAATCGCTGAACCTGAAATTATTGCTGGGGATGGGGGTCTTCCATTCTCACTTCACTTCCTATCCGCTGCTTAGTTGCTATGTGACATCCTGAAAAAAGTCACCCAAGTATTCCTACCATACTTTGCCCCTCTTTGTGAAGGGAAGAATGCTGGAAAGAGACCGAGGATTATCCTTGCACAGGCATTTGGATCTATGGTAAAGATATGGATGAAACCAACAAAGTGACTAATATCAGGGGTATAAACCTAAACCTTCAGCTAAAATCTTTCTTTAAAGATTACAGTAACTAGTAGTAGTAGTGTTTCTGTAATCCTAAAAGTTCAATGTCAACCATCCTTTTCTTGCCCACCTTGCATGCAGCCTGGGAACCTGGTATTGAAGGCTTTCTCAAAATCTTCTTCAGACATCCAGCGACCCAGCTGGCTAGTTCCAGTTTTAGGGATTGGAGTGGTATCTCTCTGTTCTTGAGTGATGATGACCGTTTTGCTCTCAATTCTTGCCACATCTCTTGGATCGGTGAGAGCCAACCAGCTGCATTTCACCAAAAATCAGGAAATTAGACTCTAATTATCAATATAACACTTCTTATCCTTCTGTGGGTCTGGTTAAAAGGGTATAATGCTTTTTAAGGCTAAAACTACAGTGACAGAGCCAGTATAACACATAATCTCAAAAATCAGTCAGATACATTCTCTCATACAAATTGTTTCAAGATTTTCCAGTATGAATAACAAATTATATGGCCTAGGAAATTCTGGTTACATGCTAGTACTCCTTTGCCTCTTATCTCAGTCTTATTCTCTGTTGCTAACTTCCAGGGAAAAGTTAATCTCATTTAATTCTCATCAGTGTGAAGCTGTTTTGCATGGGGACCACAAAATGATGCCTCAAGCGAAGTAGATGCCAAGCAAGTACTTCAAGTGTTGGTATAAGTGCCTGTGGGATCAGAATCCAGCTTAGTGGATTGGCATAGTCCTTCAAGTGAGAGGCATCACAAAATAAATACTGAGTATAAGCACGATCATAAAAAGTGGAGGAGTTTATTAACAGGGATACTTTTTCCCCTCTAAAGAATTTTTGCCATCTATTTACAATAGAGAGGTTTGTTTTACATTTTCACCTCTGTGCACAGAAATTTTCCATGAGTATAGAAATGTTCTAGTTGGGCTGTCATAACCATCATCGCTACAGCTAAGCATATAATTAACAATGAATAATTTATCTGGTGAATCTTGCCCTTTTCTCTCCCAAATAGTCTGCAAACAGATTGCCAAATTCCTGCACTTATTTATTCAAAAGTCTTTGCAGATTTTTTTCCATGAAGATCTCTTGGTCGGCACGTAATTCCTGAGTATGTACTTGTTGTTAATATTCTCCTTTCATGTTGGGTTAGCTGGGAGAGATGACGAAATATTTGAAAAAAGTATTTGCTGAATACATTACAGTCAAAGCTCATCAGCACGATATGAATAATGCCTGTACTTGAATAATATTTGAACACCCACACTGCTATTTGAATGCCACAAAAAAAGTATTTGATGAATAAACTAATTGACTAAAATAGTAAAATTCTTCAAAAGCTGTATTTGCTAAATAATATTTAGCCATTGCTAATGATTAGTTACATACGTCTCATGACATTATTTCAGTTCCCTCATGTAACTAATCAATAGAGACAATGTACAGTTGATAGTCCGATTGAACAATATGCTTTATATTAATTTTTAGACAAAAAAGTTTGCTTTTCCTGAGTATTTCACCTATGTAAGCTACAGCACCAAAATGTTCATGGAAAGCAAATATTGAAAGGTTATAAGCAGTTTTAAAAGTAAACAGGACAGAAAATGCATATTGCAATTCTGAGATGATATTTGACTTTCTTCAGGCTACTCACCAGTTCTCATACTTGCTCAGCTTCTTGATCATGCCTTGTTCTACCATGATGTCCAGAATTTTTTTGTTTTCTTCTTCTGAGCCATCACAGATATGAATGCTCTCAGGCTGGCACAGCTTGGCATTACTTTCAATGAATTCCCTTGCTTCTGGAGGCAGGCTCTGCAAATCTCCCTGAACAACCTTGGGCATGACGTTTACCTCTGCTTTCAATTGTGGGGGCATTATTGAACCTGTACTGGATCTTGTTGATGGTCTTGAAATACTGATCACAATCTAAAATCAAATATATTGGGTGTGTTAGCATGCTATGACATTCTAACCAGTGTCAGTAAGACTTCTTAACGACATATAATGCAACAGTAGAATTTGTAATAACTTGATCATGTACTTCTACTTTAAAATCAATATAGAGAACTTAAAATCAATACAGGGATTACTGGTAGTTTCAAGCTGGAAAAAATAGAGGTCATGCTACTTACTTTATAAGTTTGAGTTGGATCTCAGAGAGGATTTTGCTGTCCCTTTCAGTTGATCCTGTGTCACTTGCATTTGAGTACTCTTGAGATCACTGCTTTCCAAGGAAGCATCCTCCTTCCTTAAATATTCTTTGTGGTAGTGTCCATCCCACTAGGTGAGGTGAGGGAGGCTTGTCCTTTACGTCGCCACTTGATGTGTCTTGGGACAGTGCCACTGACGCTGTCATCATGTAGAGTTGTCAACAAAGCAGCCCTGATGAGGTAATCATTTAACAGGTTTGACTAATGAATACTGAAAGCGGTGATTCTTGGCCCCTGGGTTTGCTGTTTTGAAGCAGTTACAAAATTTAGCAGTTTAACCAAACTTTGATCCAGTTTGGCTTTGAAACCAAAAGCATTGTAATTTCTCGGTGTGTGGGAAAGGTTGAGTGCAAAGAGTATGTGGAATCAGGAACACGGAGGTCCTCCAGGCAAAGTGCAGTTGGCACATTTTGTAGGCAGATGCTTGCTAGTTGACTGTGAAGTGGAGACTCATCTGAGTGTGTGCTTACTCACCTTGGGAACATTGCCTGATCTGGGGATAAAGTTCAACAGTGAGCACTGACAGGCCTGAATAACCACTACATACACCTGCCTGGAGGCCTCGTTTTTGTCCGTGCAATTCAAAAAAAACCCAAGCAATGTAAATCTAAATGTTGGGTCTCCTTCAGTGTGGGAGAAAAAGTTTTTGCTTATGGCTTGCTTTAGGCTCTTGCAAACTGAACAATTATTTTCTATTGCTACAAGCTCAGAAGAGGCAAATCGGCAACTGTCCCGGTAATTAACCCCCTTCTTCAAACATTACTTTTTATTTTACTGGGACTCCTATGGGGTCCTAAAATATTAACCCATCTTTAAATAAGTACTCAAAGAAAAGGCACAAAAGTGCTCAGGAATGTGGCTGCGCACTTTGTTATATGTGTGAAGTGCACTGTATGCATATGTACATATACAGACATGTGTACATATCTGCATCTGTTGTGGCAGTAAACGATACCAACAGCCACTATTACTCTTACAATTCTGAGGGTTAGAGTGTGACCTCAGACATTTTGAGGTCTTGCCTCTAACTGTTCCTGTCTGTCTGTCAGCTCTTTATCTTCTCCTACTCTATTTTAGACCATCATGCCCATAAAGAAAGGCTGATCTTCAGGTCCATTTGTCCATGCAGTCTGGGTGTATGAAGACTGAAGTATTTCAGGCAAATAAAACCATAGATATAACCCTGCTGCCATTTCATCTCATTCTGCTTAGATCCAGTCCCAGCAAAGCATCTGGGGCCTGGATGAGGTGATGTGTCCATACCAACCTCTCATTTTTTATATTGATGGGGCTTCCACTGTGCCTGTAATATATTGTCAATGGTAGTTTGCAGGACGGGAAATCTGGGAATCCCAGCTAAGTTTCAGGGAGTTCTTTCAGGCAACAAAATTGATGCAAGTATCCTATATAAAGGATGTTCATAACCCGCCACCCGCTCAGGTTCGTGCAGTCAATGAAATGTTTCCAGCAAGGCTTTTGCCAAGGCAGCCAGCAGTGACTTGCAAGCCCTGAAAAGCCAAGTCTAGCAGAGCAGCATGCACCAGGATTGCAGCTTGCCTTTCTGCCCTGCAAGTCTAAAATACTGTGGAGCTGAATCTCACACTGCAGGAATTCTTCCCCTGGGACTGTATCCTCTATCTCTCATCCAAAGCTTTTTATTATGTTTTGTAAACGTGAAGGGAAGAAAATAGTGAAGTAAGAGGGGCTGTCCTTGATGCACTGCAAGGCCAAACATTCCTGAAAAGGAAAACAAAAATCTGGTAGGATAAGAATGCTAAAGACTGCTCCAGACGGGGCTCTGCCATAAGCAAAGGTAAAATCAAAGACAATTTAATAATGACAGTGGTGGTGTGTCTTTGGCATCCACATACTGTGTTGGTAGTGGAGCTGAACAGAAATATTTCAGCCAACTGTTTTCCTTTTAAAACATATCATTAAATACTTCATTAAAAATAAAATGGGGCATAATCTTCAGTAATAATAATCAGACCCCTTTTTCAGTGAAGTACAAAAATACTGAGTCCTTCCTGCTGGCCAGATAAGTCATTATACATAGAAATAACAACTGAGAGTAAACCAGCAATGCTTCAGTTCTCAGGGAAAAAGAGTGGACTGGAAAATGATCATATTGCAGCACAAGTAAAGTCAGAATGAAAGCTTAAAATTGACAGTGTAAGACAGCAGGATTAGTCCTAGTGTCTCTTCAGTTTTGAGTGGAGGAAAAAATCCCCAAACCCAGAGCATTAGTTTCTGCCAATTAAATTATAGTCAGGCAGGTGTTGTGCAAATTTTCTCACACTGCAATCCTAACCTCCCACAATCTTGCTATACAAACTGTGGGCTTCTCTTGAGAAGATACTAAATATGCCAAATTGGTGGCACTGTGTTATGAACATATGTCCATTAAAAATCACATTAAGGATTCCAAATGTTTTTCATTTGTGATGGCAGCAAGGCTCGAGTGCAGATGTCCACTGGGAATTCTAGACACTTAAGCATCAAATTACTTGTATTTAGGTAACACCTCCCATCAGAGGATCTCAAAGCATATCATAAACACACAGTAAGCCTCAAGCCCCTATATAAAACATGCATAGTGTTTGGTGCAATGAAATAACTGGAGCATATGCAAATCAGGGCCAAGATTTTTTTCAAGAATCTCCTCATTTAGAGATTCAGCTTTTAGATACCCAACAGAAGGCATTAAAGGTTTAATCTGAAGATACGGAATTCTCATAACTCCCAGTGTCTCCCACAAAAAAAAAACAGTCACATCTCTGATGGTTTAGATACAGTGGTCTTGAGGTGTTCACCCCATACCAGTGTGTACTGCTGTTTGCCATGTATGTCTCTGCCTTCTGGATTCAGTTTGCTGGAAGATCACACTAGTGAGAAACATGGGAGGTGGTATGAGAGCAATGTAAGGTCTTTTTTTAAAAACAAAAAAGTCTTGAATGTAAAGTTTATTTTCCATTTAAATGAGAAATCTTTTTTAGTAGTAGCTGTATTATAATACTCATCTAATAACTGATACAGTTTCTTTGGATTGAACTTTTTTTGGCACTTTTTATCTGTGCTTCTTGACACTTGAATGTGATGCTCATCAGGTGTCTTCTTGGAAGCTGTCAAATTATTTAAAAGAGTGTGAATCTGACATTTCGAGATGATAGTGTTCAACAAGTGCCTTGAAAGGAGTGTTTTCAGGATGTTTGCTTTGATGGACACTATTCAGGCTGTTCAAAATAGAGGTTTTGAGCACTTCAACTTTTACTGACTTACTAGAATTCAATACAATAAATGTAAAGGTTCTTAGATGCTCAGAAAAAGTGTCATAAGAATGCTTACCTCATCACTACAAACCAAGGTGCAACAAAGCACTCTCAATGAGATCTAAAAGCTGTTAATGGCATATAACAATACTCAGAAATTCTACTCCCCTCCCATTGCTAATTATCCTACATATTGTCACCTCCAAAGAGTTTGTCACTTGTTTTTTTTTGTTATAAAATTGTAGCTTTTTTTAAAGATTATCTGAGCTATTCTACTAATGGAAGAACATTGCTTCTTGATTGTTATTTTTGCTGTGAAGTTGTTCTCAGCTGATATTGAGCATAGTGCACTGGATGCCACGCAAGCCCAGATCCAAGGGCAGCCTTTGCAAGCATAGAGCTCACAGAGACCAGGGCAGGGACTGTTTCCTCACTTTCCAGGAGAAAACATGAACCATGCAAATTGCCTCCAGTTGCAAAAGAGTCTGTGACTGAGCCAAGTGTTTATTCCAGACCCTGCACAGCCCTGTGTGATATTTCCGCCTCACAGCCCCTTTCCTTGCAGGCAGTTCTTCGGCAGTGACCCAGCTGCAGGAGGTCGGGGGGCTCTGGCCACACGTGCTGCACACTCCTCTCCTCCTGCGCCACGTGAACCGTGAGACTGAGCCTCTGGGACCAGACAGGACAGGTAGCAGCAAACTGGGAGCACAGTGCTTTCGTTCTTACCTCCTCCTTTCCAACCCCAAATGATACAGTATTTGTATTGGGCAGATTGTAAGATATAATGTTTGTGGAGCACTAAGGTGATGTAACTTTTTTGCCTTAAGTTAAGTTAGTGCCTTATTCTGATGGCAGAGGAATGAGAAAGGGGGAAAAAAATACCCAGATTTATTATGATTTAACTGCACTTTCATTAACCTGTCCAGTATTTTCATCTTGACAACAGACATGCTAAAATTTCTTAAAACAAATGGAAGTAAATCTCATCAGACGGGAACATCATTAGTGCATGTTTATGATCTCTGAAGAAAGTCCCCTACCTTTAATGCTTGGTTTAGTATCAGCTCAAGTGCTCAATCCTGAGCTGTATTTTAGGGAAAGTCCTGGTTGTGCTACAGTAGCTGTCAAGGCTGACATTATACCATGGGCACACTGGTTTCTTGCTTGCTATTCTTCTGCTTTGGCAGAGAAACTATTTTATTATAATTATTTTGGGTTTAAGCTCACTTTTGCAGGATCTGAGACATTGTTATAGTCACCTGGGGAGGTGAGGGTGTCTCTTCCATTTTCTCTTGTAGCAAAGAAAAACTGGAGTCTTGGCTAGGGAGGTACCTTGACACCTCTACACATTGCATGTGAAGGATACTGAGGGCTTGATTCCCTTTTCAGTAACACAAGACACTTAGCTTAGACTCCAAGTTTGCACCTGAATCTCAAATGG